AGTCCATCAAGACCGGGGCTGCTTTGTTTCGGACAACGGGATACTTGCATCAAAAGTTCAGTAAGTGACATGGGAGGAGTAAGTAGGTCGACTGTAGACTGGGAAAACCTAGCAATTGGCAGCATATTTTGTAACAGGTCATCTACAGCTAAAGAAGAAACAGGAGATGGAGAATACAAAGATTCGTAGAAAGAGCAAACAGCATCATGAAGATGGGAGATTGTTGAATCAATGCGATTAGTTTGGGGGTGTTGTAATGGCGGTATTGATCTTTGTGCTGTTCCAGTGGTGATGATTCGTTTCAAAAAACTGGCAGATTTTTCCCTAGCTTCCATCCAATGAACAGAGGCCCATAAGGCTAAACGATCCATATAGTCATATTGTAGGTTGGCAATCTCGGCTTCGATGGACTTGATTATTGACAACATAGTATTTTAGTGACTGGAACGCCGCATAATTTTGTTGCGGTGGCGCTGTAGCTTGCGAATTTCGGTCAATCGTTGATTAGCCTTTTTCCGTCCCATTTTGTTACATAATTTTTTACCTTGGTCTTTAAAAAAATCCCATTGGTCTTGAGTGGGAAATATTCAAATCATCCCGAGTGTTGCAAAATTGATCAAGTTCTTGAGATAATGCCTGTCGAAAATCAATGGAGTTTACTAGTAATGGATTGGCACGCCATATCCCTTTGCCCGAATTCGAGTTAACATGCATGGCAGTGGTGATAAGCGCATGGTCAGTCCATTAGTCATCTAAATGATGAATATTGGGAGTGGTGCAAAGAGGTAGTAATTCTGGTGATGAAAAAATAAAATCAATGGCAGATTCGCTACGGTGATTTTTAAAAGTAGATAAGTATGGGGTTGGTATCATGTTAGTAAAAGTGGTGGAGATGAAGGACACCCATACTTGAGGTACGCCAGAGAGATAGGAGCTATCCGAGCGACAGTAAGAGTAGTTGAAGTCCCCCATTATAAAGCATCTTGTGAGAGCCGAAGCAAATTGATCAAGTTGTAAAATATCTAATAGACAATTAAAAAAAGAAAAACGTTCTTGATATACAGCAGGAGCATATACTACAAGAACATAAAAAGGTTCAAAAGAACCATTAGTATGAGAAATCGTCGCCCATAGGCCACGACCATTGAGAGTTAGGGTCGCAATCTGACCCGCAGGTCAAAACCGACCTGTGGGTTGAGGATGGGTCAATGGGTCAGGTTGATACTTTTCTGACGCATGGGTCGACCCGTCTAGCCCTTAACCCAACCTGTTGACCCGTTGTGACCCATGTATACATATAATATGTATGATGTACTTGTTCTCAAGTAGTCACTCTTCTTGTTGGGAAGCATCATTATATGCCCAGGGCTGTAGGCTCAGCATAAAGAGAACATTCCAAACTTGTGTCCATACCCGCCAGCGCGGTGGATAGGTGATGAGAAAATGCGAGATTGTGTCGAGCTCAGAGTTGCAGAGCTGGCAAATGGAAGAAGGTATAAAACTGGGGACGAGATAGTGTAGGCATTGGGCAGTCAGTAAGGTGCGATGCAGGATGCAGAACCATATGTTGCGGACCGCGTGGAACATGGTGGTGGCCCAAAAGGTGGCCCATTAACTGGCCAATAGGTTGTTGCTGGTGTTGTTGATCAGAAGAGTGGTTGATTGCTGGCAGTGTTGTCGATAACACCGAGTGTTGGTGAGTTGGTCGAGGATGGAGCTGAGCACTTGCCACAAAGGGAAGCCATCCATGGTGCCGAGAGTGCTGTCGTGACCACCAAGGGCATGATCGCCAGGCAGACAGAGATGAGCAAAGAAAGGTTTCAACTGGATGGTTCCATTGATAACGGCGGTGATGAAGCAGCCAAGGACTCGGGGATGAGTAATGTTGCCATCTGTTGACATACGAGGCCGAAGGTAGCCTAGAGCGTTGTCAAAGACATAAACATCGTTTGCAACCATGGTGTTGAGAGTGGGTGAGTGGATAAGCGAGGCAGTGTCTTGATCCAGTGCTGCAGTCCAAATGGCTGTGGTGGGTAGGCATAGCGCTACAGCTGGTGGAAGTTGAATAGTCGAAGAGTTGAAATCCATGTGGTCAAATGCTTAAAAAAAGATAGACAAGAATAAAGACGGAGAAGACTTGAGATACCCAGGACGCGCGGAAGGAAATGCCATGATCAAGCAGTGGTCTGGGAGTGATAGATTCGAAGCGAGTATGTTGTAAACCAAGTATGGGATAGCTAGGCTAGGTACCGGATCATTGCTGTATGAATACGCCAGAAAAGGACGAAGCCAACGAAGCTGCAAAGCATATTGCTGTATGGCAGGGTCCAAGAGTTGTATCCCACCATGCTTGCGTAAGCCGCACAAATGGTCATATGCAACTTTTGAAAACATACGATGCATGGCAAAACTTGATATAATTGTACGCAATTTGTTCCAGAAGAATGCCTTAGGCGCCCCCGTAAGTCGGAGGACATGCCACAAACGAGCCAGGATAAGCATGTTTAGAACGGTCGCGCGACTGTGGACGGACAATTGTCGTTGTTAGTGGAGCTGACTACCAGAGCGAATGGACACCAATAACCATTCCAAAAAGAGATGAAGCTGATGGTTCGAGGAGCAAAGCAGATATCCCAGGTAGGTAACAGCCTCGGGCCAAGAGCGGTCATGGCACGCTGGGAGTCCATAGTAGGTGAGACTAGTGGACCAGGTGGGTTGTGGAAGGCCAGATAGAGATATTGCCTCGGTCTTGTGGGCGTTGAGTTTTGCATTGGACGCGAGCTGATAATGCATTAAGTGTACGTGTAGTCGATCTAAATCCGCTGGTGTTCGCAAAAAGACAAAAACATCGTCCACGTATGCCAGAACCTTATGCGGAGGTGGTGGTGGTGGTGAGTAGTGTGTGCCTGGGATGCCTATCGCATGTGGGACACCTAAAAAGGCGTGATCCTCAAGGATAGCATGTAACAAAGGCTCAATCGCCAGATTAAACAAAATAGGCGAGAGTGGGTCGCCTTGCCTGAGACCGCGTCGCTGCTGGATAGGCGTGCTGAGATGGCCGTTGATGTTGATCCGGATATGCGTCTGAAAAAAGAGGTCGCAGATGCTAGTAACAAGTCGAGGCGGAAAACCGAAGTGGCGCAGAACTCTGGACAAATATCGAGGATGGATGTGGTCATAATCCTTTTCTTAGTCAAGAAGAAGGCCGATTATGGTATCATCCGTGCGGAGCGTTGCTTGTTCTATCATCAACTTGACCAGTAGACCATTGTCAGCAATGAATCGACCAGGTAGAAAGCCAGTTTGATGTAGAGTGATGAGACGTGAAGCAGTAGTGACCATGCGAGCGTTAAAAAGTCGGGTACAAATCTTGGCATCACAATTGATCAAACTAATGGGGCACCAAAGCCGAAGTGAGGATAAATCACTGCCAGTTTAGGCAGGAGAGTAATGCATATTTCTTGCCAGGAGCGAGGGTAGATACTCTGCTGCAAGTCAGCGTTGTAAACTTGGTATGCTAAAGTGGCGTACAGCAGATGCCGGAAAACAAGGTACCAGATGAAGTACGGTAATCCGTCAGGTCTGGGACTGCTTTGTTTAGGAGCTCGTTTGGTGGCACTTTGGAGGTCCTCAATGGTAAACTCGTGAAGAAAATCCAAGGCGCTTTGGGGTGACAAGTGACAAGAGCCTGGTATACGTTGCAAAAGGTACTCGAGAGAGTCATCTGAAATATCGTCTGCGGAGTACAATGATTGGTAAAAGGTAGTTGCTGCGTCTTGTATGCCATTGACGTCCGAGTGTATGGTACCGGTAACAGGATGCTGTAACTATGAGATGTGGCGAGATGCTGGCATTGATCGATCGTGCGTTTGAGGTATCCTGCAGACTTTTCACCATGCTCGCGCCAGCGTTGACCAGCAGTAGTGCGGCAGAATCGACTAATTCTTGCTGAAGAGTGGCGATCTGGCGTTCGAGGCGTGGCAAGAACTGTGCGCGGAGAGCCAGAGAGGGACGTGTACGGAGAAAGCGATTATGCTTGGACTGCAAAGCGCGCAACTGCTCTTTGCGCCAGCTAGCTTGTGTTCGGCAATAGGACCGAGTGTGCCGGGTGACCACTTCTTTTACGTGCTCCCATTGCTCTTGGGGAGAGGGCAAATCCATTAGATGGGGATGCAGTGAAGAGAGTGTCGAGGCTAAGGAGCGACGAAATTCTTTGTCGTAGGTAATGGAGGGATTGGCCCACCAACAGCCTTTACCATGAGTTTGAGAAACAAAGCGAATATTTATGGCAAGTAAAGCGTGGTCAGTCCACTCTGAGTGCAAATATGAAACCTCGGCATTATAGATCTTGTTACGAAACAGTGATCCACTATAAATGTAGTCAATGGTCGAGTAGGTAGTGGTGCCGTGCCAAAAGGTGGGAACTGAGAGAGTGGTGGTACGATCAGTGATGCAGTCAAAGAAAACCTCTTCGAGGAGGGCGTGCCAGCCAGAAGGGGCATTGCCAAGAAAATGTGGGCAAGTGATGTCGTAGTTAAAATCACCAGCAATAAGTAGTCGCTCACAGAAGAGATGGTCCGTGAGGCAAAAGGCTGGATTGTCGAGGAGTGTGGTGTAAAAGGCCTTATGGTTGCTACTACTGGTGGCAGGAGCATATAGAACCAGTACATGGAATGGGTCAAAAATATTGGATATGTGACTGACGTTGATGAGCATGGCTCGATCGTCAGATGATATGGAGCACAGTTTGAGGTGAATGTTGGATGATAGTGCAACAAGACCACAGTGTTGTGTCCAAAGTGATTCGTGTGCGCAGAATTAGGTATGAAGCATTTGTTTGATATTGTCGTCTGAAGCGTGGCTTTCTTGGATAGCGATGAGGTGGGGTTGTTGGGTTTTTAGGTGGTGGATGAGTGATGAACGTACAAGAGGTTTATTCGATTTGCGTAGACTGTTGCAGTTCAGGGAGCAGAATTTCAAATTGAAACTCTTTCTCTTACTCATTGGGTGTCAAATGTGGGGTTGGAGCCATCACCCCTAGCGATAGATTGCCCGGTGGCAATGTTGTCGCATATTTTCTGGCTATGTTTCAGATCATGTGTTGATCGTCGAGGTTTGTGGATCAGATTGGCAGAGATAGGTGTTTTGAGTTTGTCATCGCAAGCTTTGCGGACTGCGCCACGTTTGGTCGACGACATATTCTGGAGAGAGTTACGTGCAGTCAAGGACATAGGCAAAGCCTGGAAGTAAGCCTCCAAATCTTGACTGTCGTCGGCGGCCGAAGCAGTGGTAGGGCTGTCAACGCGTTGGACGGCATGTTCAGTCTGTGTATGCGCGGATACGATGGCCGTGACGGCAGCACTCATGGCGATATTGCCATCGACATCGTCAGATGATGTTTCCTGACCATTCGCAGGTCGTGCTTGTGTAGCAGACAATGTGGTGGCACTTAGTGGTGCAATGCTGCTAGGTGTGGTCGCACTGGTTCTCCACCTGCATCAACACGTCGTTATCTGTTGTGGGGAAGTCATTACCCGTCGTCGTTACATCGTCGCTCGTCGTTACATTCGCTCGTCGTCTTCTCGTCGGTGCCTGTCTTGTCGTCGCTGTCCGTCTTGTCATCGCTGCTCGTTCTCTGCCCGTCGGGGTTCGTCTGCTCGTCATAATTCGTCGTCTGCTCGTCGCTGCTCGTGGCAGTGTTCGTCGTTGTTTCTGCAGGGTGCGATTGCTGCTCATCAGACTGTGGAATGCTGCCAGCGTTGTTGCAGGTGCCAGATGCTGCCAGTTGCTTGCCTTCCTTCTTGCTACCTTTGAGCAAAGGGGTTTTGCATGACTTTTTGTTGGGTTGGGCATCCTTGCCCTTGCCTTCACTCTTGTAAGGGAAAACACGAGCAACATGGCCGAGCTGGCCACAGTCAAAGCAAGTAGTAGTCTGGTTGTGCAGTTTTGTACAATCACGGCGGTGATGACCGCCCTCATGACCCCATGTGCAATGCAATGGCATATCACTTCATGTGGCATAAAACCCAAGTTTTTAAGTGCCTTGCCACCTAATGATATGCTCTAGGTCACTGAATGGAGGCTGGCTGTCTATCGGTTGACAGTTGAGAATGGCGTAACCGCGACCCATGAAAAGATTCGAGTCGCCTTCCTTGAAAGCGCCACAGTCCAAAACTCTTCCATAAGGAAGGAAGCTACTTTTGATGCCATCGCACAGCTTGTCAGCATGAACAAAGGGTAGGTGGACAAGCAGACACGTTTAATGCGATTTTGATCGCCGTCGTTGGGTAGGGCTAAGGTGGCTTGGAAGCGCACACGATCCTTGGTGAAAGTCAAGCCAGTTGTTAACGCACGCTGCAACGACTCGTTTTCGTCGAAACACATCTCAATATAAACTCGTTTGACGCCTTCACGATGGGTGGTAGCGCCAGTATTGCTGGGAAATTGCTTTGCAGTGAGGAGCAGGACAGAGCGTAGTGCCTCTGGTCTGCTGCTAACATCGAAGAAGACGCAGCCCTCGTTGCGGCCAACACGCCATACTCGATGTGACAGTTAGAATATAAGTAGTAGCATCCCCCAAATAAAATTCATCATCCTCTTTCCGATATCCATCCTGTTACATTGGTGGTGAAGCTTTTTCATCGTTGATTGCTACTTGGTATGTCCTTTCCCAATGACCATCCAATCGACCCTTGGCGAACAGAGGCCACACCTCTTTTTTCGCCTGAAGGGAGTGAGCAGTAGACAGCACCGGCTATTCCACTTCCACAGCCAACACCTTTCGCCCATGCACTGCAGGCTCATAGTGCGCAGTATGAACAGATGCGAACACCGCAACAATCATTCATTCCGCTCGACAGCACCATTCAGCACATGCAACATATCAACCATCCCTCGCCATCTATCTATACCCATCAGCAAGTGCCTATGCCAACAGAGCAGCAACATGGCTTGTCGCAGGAGCAGGTACTCCTTCAAGCACAGCAAGTAATCCGCGAACAGCAAGCCGAGCTGGAACGCCAAAAAGCGACACATGACGAGGAATTATGGCAAATGCAGCAGAATATGTATGCAGCATATGAGGAGATGGTAAAGGGAAACGATACGGCGGCACTGACACCGCAAGCAGCAGAAACAGCATCCCATACGGCCACGGACAACATATCAGATTACATGAGACGAGCTGAGGACCACATTCGCATGCAGGCTCAACAACTCCAAGAGCTCAACGCCCACATCCATAGGCAAGACGCCGAATACCAGTCTCGTATCACACACCTGACCGCGTTAATTGATCGTCATACAAATAACGCCACACAGGCCCATGCTCCTAGCAGCAATCCACCGGCTATACCACGGCACTCGAGACCGACTTCAATTACGTCTTCGAATGACCCCATGTCCTCGCCGGTAGTTACGCAACTGCACGCAGTTAACGATCAACATATATCTTCACAACGTCAGGTCAACGCTCAAGGAGATATACAATAGGAGGGAACAGTACAACAGGCACAGCTTCAATCCGCATGGGAGGCTCAGGACGTCGCCTCATAATCCCACCATTTAAGGGCAACGAGCATGAGGATGCACATGTGTGGCTCCTTGTGTTCAACCAGGCGGCTACATACAAAGATTGGGATGAGCAAACGAAAATGAAAGAATTCGCTGTATCGATGCATGGGAATGCGGCGTATTGGTGGGCGGGTCTCGAGCCAATTAGAAAACAAACATTTCAGGCTATTTGTGTAGCCTTCACGGCGTTTTATGGTGGTGGATCCAACTCTGCCAAAGCAGCATTGGATGAACTTAAAAATCTACGAAGGCAACACTCCAATGACCAACTTTGGTGCACACCTGAAAACGTTACTTATGCGAGCGCAGCACGACATGCCAGAGTATATGCGTCTTCATTTCTTCTAGGAGCATGCTCGACCTCAAGTAGCAGCCAAAGTGGCCAAGCATCACCCACCAACCTTAGATGCGGCTATTGAGCTGGCGATAAGCATGGTGCATGGAGCGTGTGGACAAGAAGAACGGCATCCGTACCAAGTCAGCCAGCAGCGCCAACGGTAACACCACCACACCACCAATGATCTCAACACCAACTGCACCACCACCATCGCCATCACCTCAACAACCCACTATTTCAGCGGACGGCGATGTAGAAATGCAGTTGAATGCGCAGTACCGACGTGGTAACAGCCATTCGCGCAAGCCTGGTCGGTGTGACAACTGTGGAAAGAAGGGTCATTGGAAACGCAGCTGTTGGGCAAAGAAGAAGAAGCATCAAGGAGCGCAAGAGACCATAACAGCATCAACGTCAGCATCACTAAGCACTGGCAAAAATTACTTTGACTGTGTTTGGCAAGGAGCGCAAACCCAACTGCAGGCAACCCAAAACAACCGTGGCAGCTTCTTTGTTACAGCAATGATAGGCGATCAGCAATTTGACGTATTGATCGACACAGGTTTGGATTTGACATCAGTAACGACGGCAGCAATGGAGTCGATTGGCGCACCTATAGAAGTCGCGTCACCAACGCTGATCGGTTATGGAAACGAAGGAGAGCAGCGGTCAAATCACAAAGCTCACACAACACTTCAACTAGATGGCATTTCATATGACATCACTTTCAAACTCGTTGAAATCCAACGGCCAGCCATTATCATTGGTAACGACTGGTTAATTGCGCACGACATCTTACCTGATCCACACAATAACACCGCTCTCCCGCGCCACATTTTCATACAACGTGCTGTAGCATCATCCCAACAACAAACTACTATCAACAATCACAACAACACAACGTCAGCACTAGCACCAGCACCGTCATTAGAACCAGCAACGACACGACGAATTGCAGCACCAACACCAGACGAAGCATTGGATCCAGCAGTGGCCACCATTCTTGCAAAATATCCCGCCATATATGACAACAGTCCAGTCCAAACTATCACCAATGCACCTGTCCAGCATGTTATCGACACCGGCGATGCTCAACCAATTGTATGCCGGGATTACCATCGTTCACCCAAGGAGAAGAAAATTCTCAAGGAACATATTGACGATATGCTGGCTCAGGGTGTCATCTGTAAAAGCAACAGCCCTTGGTGCTTACCGCCGATCGTTGTTGCTAAGGATTCGTCTTCTTTCCGTATCTGCATCAATTACAAACGTTTGAATGCAATAACTCGCAAGGACAAGTTTCCCTTGCCAAGGATTGAAGATTTGATCTGTCGTTTGGGTCCGACCTATACCACATATTCCAAGATTGATCTCAAATCGTACTATTGGCAAATCCTATGGCGGAAAGCGATATTTGTAAGACAGCTTTCTGTGCTGACGGTGGTCCTTACGAGTTCCTCGTCCTCCCGTTCGGGTGTACCAATGGTCCTGCGACCAGTCAACGTTTTATCCAAGTGCTACGACCTTTTAGCAATACCATGGCGTTCATCGACGACATTCTGATCTATGCCGAATCGCGTGAAGAACACCTACAAATCTTAGAGCAGGTCTTGGCGAGGTTGGCAGCATACAATCTCAAGATCAATGCCAAGAAGTCATCGTTTTTGGTACCACGCGTCAAGTTTGGCTATTATGTTGCAGCCTCGGGGTATTACTGCTGATCCAGCTAAGGTGGAAGCGATTTTGGACTGGCCGGAACCAACTACAGTCAAAGCTTTACAGCGTTTCTTGAGCATCTGTGCTTATTATCACAAGTTTTTGGACCCGTTGGCAACATGGGCTGCACCACTATATGCCTTGACCGGTGGCAAACAAGAGTTTCAATGGGAGGAGAAACACCAAGCAGCATTCGACGCGATCAAGTAACACTTGGCATCCTTGCCTGAACTGGCACATGTTGATCCAAACTTGCCATTTGATATGCATACCGACGCTTCAGATGTGGGCATAGGAGGAGTTTTGGTACAAGCAGCTCGACCAGTAGCTTTTGCAAGTCGCGTTTTGGCAAGTGCCGAGCAAAATTATAATTGTACAGAACGAGAATGCTTGTCAGTAGTTTGGAATTTACGTTATTTCCACTCATACATCCATGGTGCAGTTCTGGCCATCTATACGGATCATATGGCGCTCAAGGCTATCCTTAGTTTGAATTCACCACGAGGCAGGATCGCAAGGTGGATTCTGGAATTGGCTAACTATGACTTTACAGTCGTGCATCGTCGAGGCAAAGACAACACAGATGCAGATGCATTAAGCCGCAAGTACAGCAATGCGCAAGCAACCCTGACAAACGATCTCATTCGCCAACACCAGATGGAGGATCAGGAAATCCAAGGATATATCCAACAACACGATTCACGTTTCGAAATGCTCGAAGGCCTTCTATACTTACGTGGCGAGGGTACCCCTGTCATGGTTATTCCCAAGGCATTGCGCAAATATTTTCTTGATCTCGTACACGCACATCCATCGGCAGCCCACATGGGTCGCGACAAGACGTTGGCCAAGGCAAAACAACATGGATGGTGGGCGGCAATGGTACCGGATATCACCGAATATATCCGTCAGTGTGAATCATGCCAACGATTCAAAGGTCTAAAGCGCAAATATGGTCATCTACAAAGTATTCCGGTGGGCAAGGCTGGCGAAGTATGGGCGGCGGATATTGCAGTTTTACCTGAAAGCCACAAGGGCAACAGGTATCTGCTAGTTATGATGGACTATCTGACGAAGTGGATGGTTACGGCGGTGCTACCTCAATTTACATCGACGCATGTGGCAAATGTTTTATTATACAATGCGGTTCTGGTTCATAGCATGCCCCGCAAGCTTATCACAGATAATGGGACGAACTTTGTAGGGGAGGTCATGAAGATTATCTGCGAACGGTTGGGCATATCAAGATCTACGACAAGCGTAGAAAGACCTCAGAGCGATGGCTTGGTGGAGCGTATGAATTCGACAATCAAGACGGCGATGGGAATATACGTCGAGCAAGATCCGAAGCAGTGGGACGAGTATCTACCATTTGTCACTTTTGGTATTAATACGGCGCAACAAGCATCCACTGGTTTTTCCCTGTTTGAACTGATGTTTGGACGCATAGCAACTTTGCCAACAACAGGAATATGGCAGCCACCGACGATGAAGAGCCATAATGCCGAAACATGGATAGCCTATTTGAACCACTATTTGCCGGTTATCCATGAACAAGCAAAGAAGAATATACAAGCATCGCAGGAGAAACAACAACGATATTATAATCGCAACCGCCATCCAGTACGAACATTTAACGTTGGTGACAAGGTTCTTAAAGTCATACCAAAGGAGAATCGACACTTTGCCAAGGCGAAATTCATGGGTCCATGGATCGTTAAACAAATCAACAAGCACAGCAACAGCCTTAAACTACAACGAATTCAAGGAAAAAGAACTATTACTACTACAGCCAATTTATCCCAAGTCGAACCATTTTATACATCAACTAGCTTGTAGGAGAGGAGGAATAGTGTGACAGCTAGAATATAAGTAGTAGCACCCCCCAAATAAAATTCATCATCCTCTTTCCGATATCCATCCTGTTACACTCGAGAAGGACGAACTGTCCTACCATCCTGGTTGTTAAGAAGATCATTGGAGTGCATCAATGATACACGTTTGTTTTGAACAACATGGGCCCATGACATTTGTGGTGTATCTGGACCTGTAGTGTGAATGGAATCGTTTATAGTGGTGCCCCTGTCGTCGAAGAGCCATGTGCCACTGTATTCTTAGCTCTCTGCCAATCACGAGAAATCACACCACCAATCAAAGACCCCCCAACGCCAAAGAAAAAAAAAATCCCCGCCATCATGTAAAAAAATGGGCCGCCAATCATTAGGAAAAATCCTGTATTTCATCTGGTGTAAGTAGTGTCAATCAATTGCTCTAGTATTGAGATAGTAGGGTGATAAACGCAGGTAGAAAGTTGAAGATATAATATTAAAGTATACTGTTTATTGAGGAGCATTTATATACTTTATTTAAACTACTGCACATAAACACATCCGTAGAGACACCCTAAAAATTTGAAGAGCATTAAGGAATGTTTTTCATGTACCTTTTATAGTCCTCTTTTGTTAATATATCGACAGATGTATAGTAACAATAACAAGTGAGCACATCCAGTGACCACATCCTTGCGGATACCCCCACAAGTATATGTTTATAGAATGTGTGTAATCTGATGAGGATTAAAAATAGAAGGGGGTGTCCGGAAGGATCTGAGGGGGGGGGGTGCATATCAAAAGCCTTTCTCATTTTGCAAGTAGTGAATGGATAATCCACCAGCAGCTGTACCACCACTTTATCCCTGAACTTCTTACTACCTTTACTGCTATTACGTTGTTAATATTTAACTTGGCAAAAGATGCTATAACCCTATAATGATATAATATATACTTAGGTAAGGCAAAAAGCTTGCTTGATTTCGAAAAAAACAATCATCTGCTGTTTTCCTTCGTTCCTTGTAATGGTTTTCTCATCGCTCATGAACGATCATTTGGACGATGACTGAATTACAGTCGAGACATTATGCGAAGCTGCAAATTTTGGTAGCTATATGATTCTTATAAGATTTTTAGCACCGTTTTTGGTCTGTTGCCAAAACTGTGTTTACATCTTTATTTTTATTTTTTGTTAGGAACTTATGGTCAGGAAAAATTTTATTAAAGTGTGCAAATATCAGAAACTGCCAATAACATTAAAGATACAAAGTGTACAAAATGAAGGGACTAAGGCACATCGTGTGCTGCTATGGACCAAATCGATCCTAAGGGAGGGCTATGCAGATTGTAACAGGAATTTCCGCGAGATGACCAAAGGAACCATAGGAGGGACGTTGTATCCAGACAGCAGGAATCGAACCTACGAGCAATCGAGCAAGCTCAGAAAGGCCACCTGCCTTAACCGAAATCGCTCGGGGCCGGCGCCCTTGTTTACATCTATTTAGCAATTACGACGGGAGGAAGAGTGAAGATCATGTCCTGAGGAAAATGTATTGGAACAAATGGTAAGTTTGACCATGACTATCCCCACAGTAAGGTGGTTCTTGAGGTTGACAGATTAAATGTCACATCTGCAGTATATAAGGCAACTTCGGCCTGTATCCCTAGAGCTGGGGTATTACTAGGATGAACATGGTTGCTAAGCAGTAATTTATTCAATAGTTAAGCTATACCATAATCGCATAATATGCTAGAGACAAGGTCTGGTACAACATTTTCTTTTAAATTAACTAAAGACCGATACTTTTGTATGCGTTGTGTACTAGATACTACAAATAATGCCATGTAAGTCGACGAACACTTGATGCGCTTCTTTCATTTACTTACTAGCATCTCGATAGCGGTGGCGGCGATAGGTATCCAATTTTGCTAGATCCTCATAAATGCTAATTACTTCTGCTAAGGCGTCATCGGTATTTTCACAACTACCTAAAAGCCGAAGTTGATTTATAAAATGAGCAAGGGTTTGCAGTGCCCCTATATATCACAAGATGTTAGTATGCATCGACAACAATTCATATCGTCTAATAAGCTTTCGTCAAAATATATACTTACATTTACTATTGGGCTCTATTTCCAACAATTCTCTAACGGTAAAAATCTCTTCCTTGAGCAATCTTGCATGGTCCAAGGTGTGCCATGCGCATTGGCTGGAGATACTAGAAACTGGAATGGAGCGTTTGGTGGAAGGTGTCCAATGGTCGGTTTTCAAACGTTCTTCTATACGTGCTAAACACGTAGCAGAGACTGAAGCACAATATAACCAATGTTAAATACGCGGTAGTAGACAATAGGAAATGGTGGCGCGGTATTTTACCATCATCTGCTGGTATTTTTATGATCGGCCTTTCTAGAGATGTTGTTAGGGTTGCTTTTGAGCGTGTGCTAGGCATAAGGTTACTAGAACTGATGCGAACTGTGGCAGGACTTGAATTCGCCGTTTTCGGCTTATATACCCAGACAGTGCTGGTACTCGAGGATGAATTACGGCCAACGGGTAACCACGATCCTTCAACTGTATCTTCAGTTTTATCTTCGATCATAGTAGGAGCAGACACAAACGAGACATCATCATCAAAAATGAGTATAACCAGAGGTGAAGATGTGAGCTTGAAAGCTCCAATGAATTGAATGGGATCGGGAACTAAATAGAAAATAAGATGAAGTTTGTTAGGGCGGGAGCATTTTTCTGACGAGTTCAGACGATGAAAAGCGACATAAACGGATCTATTACCATGTCCGACAATCCATCTGTAGTACAGCCATGCTGATTGATCCTCTGGCTCCGTATAGATCGCTTCTTTGACCAAGTATAACTCTATATTATTTAGCAGCATAGTGTGTGAGTGATTACAATTTGAGTTCTATCGCCCAACCCTTTGCTGTGCTATGACACGAACCATCCTTTGCAATCGCGTTCTTTTTATCAACAGATAAGTTATGAACAATTTCTGGTAATAGACGTGTACGCTGGTACCATGCCGAAAAGTTGCTAAAGCTTTCATTGATTTTCTTGGTGGTGAAGTCATACTCGGATCGCACAATCTTTTCATCTTGCTCTTTCTCTTTTGCTTCCTTACGCAGCTGCCGAACCACATATCGTCGATATGTCCAGCCATGAACTATTTGTACGTAGATGCATACGCATTAGCAGTCAGTCACTATAGTGAACCAAGTATTCGCACCCAATCAAATCTGTTTTCTATATATATATATATATATATATATTGTTCATCTCGCTTACAGTTACGTGCATCCAGCGACAATAGTTTTTCAACTAGACCTAGTTCGGCTGGCCAATTGGGTTTTGGCATTGTTTCAAGGCACCAGCGACGATGATTCCACATCCAATAGGACTTTGGATTAATTCGTATCAGTTGCATAAATAGGTCGAGTTCCTTCTTGTATGTTGTGCGATTCTGTTCAACATCGTTCAGGCTCTGCGGGCTTTCGACCAGAATGCCACGTAGTAGCACTAGACGTCGCGTATTCCAAATGGTATAATAGTCAGGATTCATTTCGAGAATACGCGTCGTCAAAGATAGCGTTTCGTGGTTGTAATTTTCGTTTCGAAACTGTTTCGATCATAAAGAAAGAAGCCATCATTAGCAAAGAGAGCCCAAGCAAAACTGTATATTCTAAAGAGAAGGTGTCCACTTGTTGGCACGAATTTAAATGCAGCAAAGCTGTACAGTTACCTGTTCTTGACATTGCTGAACCAAATCATTATACTGCTTTATTTTTACGGCTTCTCTTTCTCGCCGTTTTCTGACCAATTCCTCAGAGGCCTTTACTCGCTCACGGCCATGCTAGATAGTAGCAATTTGTGTAAGTTTTGGACGAGCCGAATTACAGTGCTGGGAAACTTACAACGTTACTGCTCATCAGTTTATTAAAGGGGGTGTGGAATAGAAAATAAAGGCGTTTATTCAGCTTCACGCGGAGACAGCTGAGCACCAGGACTGGTGTCACGTCTTGAAGCACTGAAAAGCGGGAGAGATTGTGCAGGTAGGTGCACGTGATCGGAAAAGTAGGGAATGTCATTGCCATGTTGAATCCGTATTTTATGTATTTTGCCTGCTGCTCGGACACGTAAGGTTCGTTCACTTTAGTGCGCTGCTGGCCAGCTGGCAGTTTCCCATCCTCATAATAGTGCTTTTGCAATTTGCTGGCTTGTGGGAATGTGGGCACGCCTTGCTAGAGCTAGAGCGAAACTCGTCAAGTACTTGCTTTCATTTATTGCTTGCACATCGTTGATGCTTCTGTTGCCAGCCCGCCACGAATCAAAGAAATGGTCCTAGGGAAGCGCCAAGCCGAAGCGTGGTATACTTTATGACGCAGTCAACGTGTGCGACCTACCTTGCACCGTCTAGCTGCATCTTCGATACCCCCATCATTAAAAAAAGCCATCTCACATCGTTATTGGCCTTTTGTTGCAAATGTCGCAAGGTCCTTCTTCCTCCTTGTGTAATTTTGTGGTTCAGGTACGGGAATCGACTGCGATTTTAATGTCCACTGTTGTATATTTTGATCGCTGTCTTTTTCTTGCGTTGTTGCTGCTGCTGCTGAAGGAAATGATGAAGGAGGCGGTGGCAATGGAGGTAGTGATGTCAGGGGCGACGAAGAAGATGGTGGCAGCGGTGCAATCGATCCATCTGTGTAACGCTGTATCGTATAAAAAATGCGAATAATAATTCTTGATATAGCGGTAGCAGCGAGGACATGGCCTGGGTCAGAGATTCGAGAATGAATTTTGGTCAGTTGACTAATAAAAGATACCTACAAGCATACTAATTGCTACTCGTAGATGCTGTATGCGTCCTATAGAATACGCTAACTTGCCTATACCTGAACTTCTTCATCATGAATAATTCTCTTGGCCGTGTCCTTGCCAATACAACGCATTTTTGCTGCGTACAACTGCGACCTTGCGTTTGCAAGTAGCCGGTGGGTTTGCGCAAGCTTTGCTTCTACACGGCGGACCCGGACTCTTACAGCCTAAAGCACTTTTATTTTAGGCGCGCAAAATTGCGTCGACGTCATATTAAGAGGTGGAGAGAAGGAGATACAAAGCGTAGTGAGAGTTTACACACAGAGCATAGGTAGATTTTGTTCTCCTACTTTACGGGTTATAGTCTTGTGGATAACATGAATTACAGAGTTAATGATAAATGGTCAGTTATCAAAAAACCAAGGCCCAGTGAGCCCGAAGCATTTCATCTGTTGGCGGAACTGCAAAAGTCGGCGCGGTTTTCTTCATTCTTTTAGTAAGGCACATGGGCAACATGTCGGCTTGCGGATCCTCTGCCCCGAATTAGTCTTGAGCTCTTCCTGATCTGTCTAATCGTCCTTGTCTACCGCACGGTTTTTCTGGACCGCTGTTTCTTCACTTGCGACTCTGGGCTTCTTCTTTCTCTTCTTTTGCGCCTCCGTTGATCTGCTCTTTTCAGACAACTCCTTTCCTGCTCGGCCTTTTCCTTTCCATCGAGATGCTTTTTTTGCTTGAGACGTCAGCCATACTTTAAATCTCATCACTTCCAACATCACTGCTGTCATCACTGGAGGTGTTGTCTTGCTCCTTTTTTAAAAGGCCTTCTTGTCCTGTCACTTAGAATCGTCAGTCGGTACTGTCCTAGTACCAAGCACACATATTGTATGGCGATTGACAAACTTAACGCAGTGCGCAAGAGCCAACTTAGTAGATCCCATGGGCTGTTAGATAGCGGAAAGCTTGTAGAAGCCCGCGAGAACGCTGCGATTATGCCTCCCATTGACTGCCTCACTTTTACTTGTAATCTCGCCTTTCGGTGTATCAGCCGGAATCTTAAAATCTTGCGAAAAAAGGGTGTAAAGTACATCGGTTGACATATGTCCGGAGTAGTCCTCTTCATAAAAAGAAGGAAAAGTAGCCCGCTGGACCTGTTCACGACTGATCACATTTAGTAATGTACGCAAGAGGCGCTCAGTGGTGGATTTTCAGGGTGTCCTTGACCGGCATCGTCTTCGTCCTTATTTTCATCATGACTCTGCCATGTAGTACGGTCCAAGAGGATTGAAAATATGAACGGCAGCCTTATTCTCATTCTGTGCCAAGTCTGTCCCTCAAAAGGCAGCAAATTCAATGGTCCGTGCGGCGACATCTATCTTGGCCTTGGCCGGGAGCCTCTCGAAGCTTGATAACATCACTCGGATCTTTCGTCCCGCTTCTGCGTCTTCCGTCGTTGTTATCATACTTCTTTACAAAACGTCCGCGTACCTTTTTGCGTAGCTGCAAGAGTGCCTGTTTTTTTTGTTGGCACCAGTAGACGGGCTCGAAAGACTGTCAACCTTTTAGGTGAGAAAAGACAGCACGTTATACTTTGCATGTACGCATTCAGTTACCGTAGCATACGTAGTAGATCAATCATTTTAGATGATAACTTTTGCCTTCTACCCGTGAGTTCTTGGCAAAATCTTATGCGTTACTTCCTCATTGCTCTCTTGTACGATATTTACGCGAGTACCTTGATCTGGAGATGCATAGAATCAATAGCCTATATTAGGGACACATGTGCTTCGGTTTCCACTTGCTCTTGTGCAGCTTTTTTCAGTTCGACGTAATCCCTTGCACGATGTTTTCTGCTGCTTAATGAACCTGAAGCAAAATAGCGTACGTACGTGGCAAACAGAGCTATTAAGCTTTGCCCCGAGCATCTGTGAAAGTTAGCTTGTAATGCGTAGAGCCAAAAAGTACCCTGTGTATTAAACAGAAAGGATGCATATGTAGCATAGCGAGCACTTCCTAAGGCTGAGCAAGAAAGTGTTATTTATATCAACTTGACGAGACATTCAGTTTAAAAACCATGGTTTGACGAAGACGCTATATTACTGTAGCTTATGGTAGCAAGAATTATTGAACGGGCAGAAAAAGGTAAATATACTTCCCTCATAAGCTGATAGTTGCATTAGAGAGGGTATCGTTGCTCAAACAGCATTCTTCTTAAGCTGGCGCCAGTGTGGCATGTTCGAAGCTGTAGTAGGATTCCCGGCCCTCGTGGGCCCAAAAAATAAAAGAATAAAGAGCTCGTTTTAAGAGGTAGAGTCAAACACCACAAGAAAATACCTCTTCCTTTCACCATTCTCGCTTGCACTCTTTTCTTGCAGCATGTTCTATGGCTAGTTTCATGATATTTCTTCTCAAAGCGAGTCAAAAACTGAATAATCAAAGAATTTCGATACATAATAAGCGGTAACTCGTCTTTGAAAGTGTATAGGTTGCAAACAAATTTCTTCATGTATGACATGTACCGTGATTTCGTTGATCTCTCCATGTCGGATATCATTGATTTTGAGGGAAATGTGTGCCATAAGGCTCCGAACGCACAGACTTAGTTACACTTCTGTACCGACAGCAGACAACCGACATGTGCCTTTGAGTGCTTGCTTTTTTTTTTTCGCTCTATTAAGATCTCAAACACAGAGCACAGTCTCCAGTGCTGCAGCTTCTGCTGTTGTAAAATGAAAAGCCCTCCTATAGTCTAATTGACGTGCTCATTCCATATTATCCTATAAATATAAAATTGCTATTGTACCTATGTCAGCGGGGACCTCAAGTATTTAATGAGGGTTTTTAAAAGGTGGGGTACACTCTAGGTTCTTTATTATTGGAAAAGGCTACTTTTACGATGTGCGTTGTCTGATATGTAACATATACCTGTTGGCTACGGCACTTTATTTTAATATATTTAAACATCATAACTGTGGGTGTGAAATGTTGTCATCAGTACCTAGAACCAGCAGGTCACAAAATATGATGGCAGACGAGCTAGAGAACCGTCAAAGTCGCTTTATTTAATCAGAAACGGCAAATGTTGCATTGCTCAATAAAAAATGGGACTTATGGAACTACAACTCACTCAACTTCTTTTTATGACAGCAAAGACATACGTAGTGAATATTGCAATTGGAATTATGCAGCAAGCATAGTACTTGTCGCCTGCTATCTTTTTGAGGCATTAAATCTATATGTAATAATTGTGAAACTTGACATTTGTTACATTTGAAGAACAAGTGGTACATACTACCATGGATCTGTTCTATTTCTGACCACCAGTAACAGAGTATGACGAAGCTATTACGTATTTAATGACATACACCACCCATGGCCATAGGCTATATGCGCATACGTCTATCATCGTTATCTTCAACAGCGTCCCTCCTCCATCTGCAGACCCCGGTTTTTCGAGGAGTTTGGGCTTTATCATAGATCCTACAAACAGATTGCTTTGCAAAAACCAATGGTCTGAGCTCATGATCGATCAGTAATTTATCATAGCGTCGTTACTGTATGCAGAATGCCGTATCCCTGAGACAAAATAATATAAAAAAGGATAAACTTTTGTTCGTTCGGCGGGCTGCTGAAAACTTGACGACAAATCGTGATTAGCTCATCTGAATTACCTGAAAGAGAGAAGAAAGAAACGTTGTCTCCCGAAAAGATCATAGCTTGACTCTGTGTGTGTGACGAAGAAAGTTGCTTTTACCCCCATTCCCTAAATCCATATACACATATACACATATACATATCCCCATGACATCAAAACAGCAGATTCCAGTTGCAGGTCTTCAACTGACAGTCTATGGACTGGATGAATACAAAGCAATGGGCATGACAAAGCCCGTTGCTGTCATGTTTGCTTTACATGGACGATTGCGTAAGTAGTTTAAGATTTGTTGCTGTCAAGGAAACCCTACTTTTTGATTCTGATTGAATTGTCCCTTTTTTTCCCCCAAAACTAGAAAACATGAGCAAAATGGAGGAAATCAGTCAAGCGCTTTGCAGCTTGAATGCAAGCAACAAGGATAGACATTTGGTTGTTATCACGTTTGATCACCCAAACCACGGCAGTCGACTAGTTCACAAATTGGGTAACTTTGCTTGGAAAGAGGGACGGCATGAAAATCCGTTTCATGCGCAGGATATGTGGTCCATGTACAACGAGTCTAGTCGAACGGTATCGGCTCTGATCGATGTGGTCGAAGATTATCTTTTCGGACCGCAACAGGAGGGCCGTGTTCAAGTATGGGGTGTGATGGGCTTTTCGATGGGAGGCCATTCTACGTTCATGGCGGCAGCAAACGGTGAGTATTTAGTGTTTGTGTGTGTGTGTGTGTGTGCCTCTCTCTACATACATCATCAGATGTAGACAATGTATGGAGCAAGATGGGCACTAATTAGCAACAAAATAAACGCTTTGTCTTCGTGTGTCTAGATCCAAGAATTAGTGTGGCGATTCCTATAGTCGGGACCGCCGACTTCCTCGGCCTGCTGAGTGCCCGATTAATCGAGTCATCTTTGTCACAGAGGGATTTTCTGCCTAACAAGTTCCGCGAAATAGTGGAGCATAGAGTGGCCGACCTCGACATTCGCCTGAAGGATACCAAGCTGCTGATTATGAACGGACAAAAGGATAAGGTCGTGCCAGCAGCTTTCAACGTTGGTTTCGTAGAAAAATTGCGCACTAGCCACACAGGCAAACAAGGACACGATTGGGACTTTATTGTGGTCCCCGACGTCGGGCATCAGTGGTGCCCAACCATGATCGATCAAAGTCGCAAATGGTGCCAAAAGTGGATGCTTATGAAATCCGAACCAGCAGCACGCCTATAAAACTGTAATAATAAGTAGCATTTGTAAGAGTAACATATCCTAAAATCATGTAATTAACGGTGATGATGAAGGTGGCAATAAAAGAAAGCTTTATTTTGACTCCTATTAGCCTGGTCCAACTTTGGGAATGTCGTGATGCTCACTAAGATCTTCAAGCTTATTATTGAACTCTGCTACTTTCTCCTTGTGCGACTTGGCCGCAGCCTTTGCTACTCGTTCCATTTGCTGTCACAGAAAAGTGCCGTTAGACAGACTGAACAGCAGTTGTGCATTATTCCTAGAGTCCCAGCTACAGCACAAGCACATACCCTTCGTCGTTGAGTTTCTTCAAACTTCTTTTCAGCCTCTGTCTTGTCAAACAATGTGAACCGTTGTAGCTTCTTCTTGTTGCTGTCGCTGCCACTGCCCGCACTGTCTTCGCGAATGGCACGTTGAACCTTTTCCTTGTCAGATTTCGATTTCTTCTTTTTCTTTCTATTAATGTTCCCGCAGTCAATATTTTAGTTACACATTAAAATATACGCAATGCGGCGATTCTTATCTCCTTTCAGGACAAGCGATAGTATCAAGAGAGAAAGACTGTCTTACTTGATGGAGCCGGATTCGCCTCCTTTAAACTTGAGCGATCCTTTGCTCACATTGTCATACGCTGACATTGCGGAGGTCAAGCTAGAGGAGGCAAAAAAAGAAAAAGCGCTTGTGTGCTTTCTCTCTTATTTTTTTTTTGCTAGCTAATATTCCAACTCCCCCGCAAGAGAGTTTTTATTATAGCAGCACCTGCTGTTGCAAAAGGGGAACCCAGCAACAGGGCAAAACGCAAAAAAAGCGACTGTTTCTATTTTTTCTTTCCAAACGTAACTTCACTCATCTTTTTGTTACTGCGTCTGTGAATTGTGTTTGGAAGAGAATGACAGTTAAATCCGATCAAGATCTACCTAACGAGCTATTGGAGAAACTCAAGAATCTCGAGCTGGAACTAGAAGATGGCGACATTACTCAGAAAGGATTTGAAAAGAAAAAGGCGACATTGTTAGAGCAATTTGCCGACAGTGACGAACGAAACCAACAACAGGCATCAACAAATATTTCTGGCCATCAAAGTGATAACAATAGTGAATCGGCAGTCGATCTCGGACCTGAGCCTAGTGCTGCTGATGTAGTCGACTTTTTGGATTACTTGCCATCGCCTACGCATTCACCACCAAAGCCAGCTGGTGGCAGCAGTAGTGGTGCTGCTCTTATGGAACAAAACCACCGCGAACTTCAACAGCAACAGCAGCAACAGCCTTATCAGCAGCAGCAGCAACAATATTATTCATCCGTACCAGCTCAACAACCCTCATATCGTCCTTATCCACAGCAGTCGCAACAACAACAACCACTACCACTACCCCAATCACAATCACAATCACAAGCACAAGCACAAGCACAAGCACAAGCACAAGCACAAGCACAGCATTGGCAACAACAGCCTCCTGCTTCGTACGGCTATAATGCGCAGGCCCCTCCTCCAGCTATTGAACGTACACATTCTCCTAGCGGTATTGCTGGCGGTAATGGGGGTTCTCAATATTATCACGCCGGAGTCGCGTCGTCCTCGTCGTCACGCCCTTCGCGGCCTTACGATCCGCGTATGGTAGCCCGCCCTGCCTATCAACAAGGCAGTGGAGGCCCACCGCAATCTTCGCCCAGTATGCGCCATCAACCATATGCTGGTGGATATCCCTCACAACAACAGCAACAACGACCCCCATCCTCCTATAGACCGGGACCATCTCCGTCCAACGCGCAGTACCATCATTATCAGCGTCCCGTATACACCACTGCATCTTCACAACAACAGCAACAACGGCCTGTGATGGCTGCTGGCTCACCAAGACCTATCTATAGGACCGGAACAGTGACACCGCAGCCTGTAAGAGCACCACCAGCGCCTGGCAATTATCGCCCTGTCATGCCGCCTGGAGCTGCCCCAGCTGCTCATATGCGGACATCATCTTTGGATGCTCGGTCAGATATGATGCAACATCAGCAAAGACCTGGATACGCGTATGGTGTGCCTCCCCCACGATCGCAACAACACATGACCAACCCGCCACCTCCCCGAAACTTGCCTCCAGAAGCATGGAGAGGACAGTAAACTGCTTGGAAAATTTGACGATAATTAATCCCATGTTCTTTTAAGTTTGTTCTATTACTTGGCTCAACCCTTCCTCCCCACACCTCCCTTTCCTTTCCTAAACCCCTCCTCCACTGTTAAATCCTTTTGTTTTTTATTGGTCTCTCTCTCTCTCTTTGCACGCATATCATAAACAATTGCCATAATACCTCTCTTCTCAACCTTACCTTTTTTGCTTTTTGCTTTTTTGGGATAATTTATAGAAGAGTAACTCCGAGCAACAAACATTTTGTGGGTCTCTGAATTCGCGCAGCAGCTTTCAACGTTATAAACTTTTCCATTGTTTTTGACATGAGTACTCTCAAGCTAGGAACCTTATTAATACGGTGAGCTCTCTTTCTCTCGACACCATTTCCCTTTTTCATTGACAAAAGCTAGTACCATTTACCTCCGTCACCATCACCTCCTCTTCCTACCTTTTATTTATAAAAAAAAGAACTCTTGCAAAGCCAGTCGCTACGTCCATCAAGACACAAGCAAAACAACATGCCGCTTTTCGCGATTTTTGCATTGGTGTCGCGCAGGTACATATAAAACTCAGGAAATAAAATAAAAGCATTAGCTCTATTAATAATGAAGCAAAAAAAAACTGATTTTGAACTTTTGCGATTGAATGTAGCGCTCGCATAAACTCGAAATGACACTAAAGATGAACGTTTTGGGTTATAAAAAGGAAATTATTCGACCTCTGAACGATGCCAGGTAAACAAGCTATGAAAAAAAGAAGATGTAAAGCTCGTTTCCAAGGGAAAAACATCGACTCTAAAGATACTATTGAATAGGGCTGTAGATGCTGGTGCGAACTTCCTTAGTGAATCGTTTGTTTTTGGTGTAGCAGCATCCATCATCATTGCAGAGAGTTGGAGGTATATTATTAGCAAACATGGGACGAAGGAAATCGTGTTACTTTTGCTCCCACACACTCTCTCCTAAAAACTATCGAATTCCCTAGATCACATTTCTCTGCCAAGAACCGACGCAGCTATGTGGATGATGCGTTGGACAATTTAGAGGAGGATTCGGATAAATTAAAGAAATTGTTGGAGACGACCTGCGAAGCACAAAAGGCGACCGAAGAGCGTCTTGCTTTAGTTGAACAGGATAATGCCCAGCTGCGCAAGATCCTTGACGAGGTAGTTCATCGTTTTCTCGGTTCCTTCCCGCCATTGGTTTCGCAGCCATTCTCTAAAATGAAAACAACACTAACTTTATCCTTTTTTTACATAGGTTTTGTCAGTCAGTTTGGGATTAAAGCGACATTCTGGTTACGAACAGCCCAAGATTGTCAATTTGTTAAGTAAAAGTGTAGAGAAAGAAGAAGAAGAGGAGAAGCAGCAACAAGAACAGGAACGACAAAAGGAGACAGAATTATAGATAATAGCATGTGTATACCGGCACGTTTTGCGACCAAAGCAATAGAAAAAGAATAAACCCTTTCATTCCCTTCATATCAAATCCATCGTAGTTTATCGCCCGTCGTATCAACCCCTTGATTAAATTTTCGGTACTTTATTCTGTCAATACTTGGTTTTATAAAGCTAAATGTTGACACGGCCATCGTTCTTAATTCGACGGTCATTCGTCCAACAACAAGAACAATACGTGAGTTGAGGAATGTATGCCAAGTAAAAAAGACAATCGTAGTTCCTCATTAAAAACAAATAGACAAGAGCCATTTCCACGTGCAATCAAGCAATAGATAACGTGCGATTACACAATGACCGTGTCAATGCCTTTGTTGCTGTCGAGGAACACCGGACCTTACAGGATCTCGGAAACCAATCAGCTCAACGACAAAATCAAGGTACATAGAAGCGTGTATAAGTTATATGTAATACAAAATTCTTTTACTGATAAAACATCTTCAGGAACATCCTTAGGGCCTTTGGATGGAGCACCGATCGGTATCAAGGATAACTTTTGCACAAAGACACTACCTACAACCTGTGGGTCGAGAATTCTGGAAGGTGAGGCTTCCTTTTACCGTGTTGTTGAATATATGTATGTCTTAACACCCCGTTTTTTCTTTCTTTTCTTGTTTCCTTAGGATTCACCTCACCTTATGATGCTACAGTTGTCCAGCGGTTAAGGAAAGCAGGCGCTATCATTATGGGCAAAACAAATATGGACGAGTTTGGCATGGGGTAAATGGAAATATAATTTAATAGTTTCGCAAATGTGTGGCGCGACCGACGATGATGATGATGATGTGATGCTGACACATACAAACAATCCCTCTTTATAAAATAGAGCGGCCAATATCTTTAGTCATTATGGAACGGCAGTCAATCCCCACGACAAAACTAATCACGATGGAATCAAAAGACGAGTGGCAGGCGGTTCTTCGGGCGGAAGTGCAGCTGCTGTAGCTTCTGGGATGTGCATCGCGTAAGCAGTTTTGTGAAAGGGGGGGAAGGGTGTTTGCAGCAAGTGGGTGCTCATACAATGTATATATAGCTCATAAGAATATACTGTTAAAGTGCATTAGGCTCGGATACAGGTGGTTCTGTGCGATTGCCTGCCTCTTATTGTGGTGTCGTTGGTTATAAGCCATCCTATGGTCGGTGCTCAAGACATGGATTAGTGACATATGCCAATTCTTTAGATACCGTTGGCATCTTAGCTCAGGATGTGTCAAGTGCTCGACTAGTCTACGGTAACATTAAATCTGTCACTGTTGAATGAAACCGATATATATTTGTCGACTTAATCCGTTTTGGCACTCGCCAAAAATATGTATGCATATAGATGCCATTTCTAGCTATGATGCTCAAGATCCTACATCCATGCCAGATACCTTTAGGAAACGTATAGATGTCGCGGATCAAGAATTAGCTTTACGCTGGTCTCCTTCCACAGCCGATGATTTATCAGGGCTAGTAGTTGGCGTACCTCAAGAGTACTATGTAGATCCTTTGTCTGCGGCTGTCGTAGATATTTGGCGCGACGGCATTCGATTTTTCGAAGAACGAGGGGCATCGATCGTACCTGTCTCTTTACCAATGACAAGGTTCGCTCTTCCGGCATATTTCACCATTGCATTGGCAGAAGCAAGTTCCAATCTGGCACGTTATGATGGTGTTCGCTATGGTTAGTAGTGGCAGTAGTATTTCTTTCTCTCTCTCCTATTTCGTCGTGCCCGCTATCTTCCTTTGAAAAAAAAGTTCAAGACTGACTCTTTGTCCTGCAACATTGCCTCCGTTATAATTTTTATTATAGGGCGTCGTAGCAAGGCTGTTTTAAAGCAAGAAGATGGGTTTCTCTATGCAGACACAAGAGCAGAAGGATTTGGTTCTGAAGTCAAACGTCGCATTATGTTGGGCACACATCTATTAACAGCAGGGTAAACTAAACACAAGTAATATGCTTTGAAAAGAAGAATAGCTGGCTAAAATCGCAAATAAAACAAATAGGACCTATGACAAGACCTTTTTACCTGCGCAAAAAGCACGAAGACTTGTTCAACAAGATTTTGATGGTGTATTTAGCCAAGCCAATGTACTACAAAAGTCATCAGGAATGCAACAAATGGATGGTGGCGTCCACGTGCTCTTGACACCCTGCGCCATGTCGCCAGCACCAACAATAGAAGATTGTCTGCCTGATTCGGATAACAAGGATGGCACTATAGAAAAACACAACGGGGCGGTGGATACATATGTGAACGATGTCATGACAATTCCTGCAAGTCTTGCCGGTATTCCTGCAATCAGTGTACCGTTTGGACAATCGGAAGGCTTCCCAGTAGGGCTTCAGCTCCTAAGTCAGTATGGATACGACCAGTTTTTGTTGAAAATGGCAGAGATTTTGACCATTGCTACGAAATAAAGCATCCAATCCAACAGACTCGTGATACGACTTGATTATTCACACGGTTTTTCTGTTCTGCCAGTGACGCTATGTAATTAAACACAAAGAAAAAGCTTCGATTGAGCGTCATCATTGCCATCATGTTACACGTTTTGTTAAATATCGGATTTCGATTTCAAGTAATAGATGGCATCCCGTTTTTTTAACATGGCGGAATTTGACTTTCAACTTTCAACTTGGCGCTCGAGAAAATAACGGATGACAGACGATGCTTTTAACACGGCGCAGAGTTTTTCTCAACTTGGTGTCTAATAATTTCCATGATGGCGCCTACTACTTTTCATGATGGCGTCCCTTTTTATTATCATGGCGGTCCAAATATCTTTAATAATATTACTGTAGTTGCAGAAGAAGCTGATGAAAGTCAAGTGCCGTTCAATTATCCTAAAATGGAAAAGGCCTTTGCCATCGAAGTGATTTGTCTAGCCAAGAATTTCTTGGTGTAGTGATTGCACTTAGTCGAAGTATAGAAGCAGCTTCTGTCACTGTCTCTTTTTCGAGATAGGCTCAACAATACTACTAGGTACGCCACCTACACCCCAATACTATGCACTAAAAAAAACAACTGCCGTGGCACTACCACTTGACAATGATGAAAAAGAGCAGTAAGAGCCCAAAGAAAGCATGGAAGAAAAATCTATCAAAAACGAAGATCCGTACCATATCGTTAGCACGGAACTCGATACCGATAAAGATGTGTCGTGATACATTCCCTTATGTGTCAATGACAAGATCAGATAATGAAACAGAGAAGGTATTTATGAATATATAAGAGGAGATGAGGTTGAAAAGCTATTACTTATATATGACACCACCGAAAAACAGAAATAACTGGAGAAACACATCTGGCAGGCACGCCCCAGAAAAGCGTCTTTCTACCAAAGGCCTTTAGAAAAAAAGAGAAAGAGAAAGACCCGGCAAGAACCCTCCAAAAGATGTTAAGAACCCAGGTATATTAAACACTTGAGTACCGTGTACCTGTCAACCCTCTGGCATCATTATTATTTATGTATTGAACCGGGCTCGCATAGCAAACACACATATATACTCATCAATAAACTCATCGATATGAGCCGAAATGTGACATCTAACTGTGCAGAAGCTGGACGTCAACTACACATCCAGAACGCACTTCACGACGCTATTTCGCCCGGTTTTAAATATGATGAACCGTATTTGCTCAGCAAACTTGGCAGATTAAAAGAAGTGACGCCCTAGTTGATATGTAGGCACACTAACGAACTCTTAAACAAGGCTAACAAGGCTAACAAGGCTAACAAGGCTAGCAATAAAGAGTCACAGCGTGTGGTGCGCCAGTGCTTTAAGCAGCGCCTTTTATTTACCAACCAGAAAAAAAGAGTACTAGTCATTAACAGTCACTACACAATCATCAAGAAAAGACGTACACGATCATTAGAGATAGATGCATGCCGCCAAGTTGGAAATGCCAATGAATAGAATGGAGAACAGTTTACAGCAGACATTTGAAAAAAAACGAAGGGAAAAGACAACAACAAAGTACTGGCGGGACAAAGCACGACTCCTTCTACAAACACACTGACAATTCTACCTCAAAGATCTCAGCAGCAATGAAGTGGCCATTTGAAGCAGTGGATGATCCAAGGGTTAAAGGGGAGAAAAAGGGGACAAAAGGTTTAAAGCTATACACTGTGAAGGAGCTTTGTTTAACCGCCGATCTCTTGAGATCTCGCTCTTGGACATCGGGCATTTTGACTTAGGACATTGGGATTTCGACACACTGTTATAATTCACGATGGAATGAACGATCATTGAACGATGGCGGCCAGCTAATATTGTAGCTGTGGTTCATAACGGGTATGCTTTTTTTTTTGGTTAAAGTGCATTCGTGCTATATTCTCAACGATGTGCTTATTATAGGCAAGATCAGTCAAAGGTTAGATCTTTCAGCCGCGCGTTGTGAATGAAGATCGTGTTCAAGGAAGAGGGCCGTTTAGGTAAAGAATAGAAAACATGATATGTGAACAAGCGTCGAATGCGATTAGCAATATACTAACGCTCTCTATTCCCTTTAGAACCAAAGATAAACGTACCTGTCAATGCATCATAGAGACAAAAAGACGTAAGTACCATATTTATGCTTATGGTATATATATTAGAAGTGTAGGAGTGTAGGTATAAAACCTACCTAAAGTTATGGTTGTAATGTGCCGTTAAAAAATAGTATATAAATAAAGCTATTTTATAAGATGTCTCTTTGATACTACATGGGTCCTTCATCTCTAAAATACAGTGTAATACATATATGGAGGGAATTGTGCATCTCTTGTTAATGCAACATGTGACGACGATTGTCAATATGATACAAAACCTTTGTGCGTTCTGTTAAAGCATGATCATGAATAAATGAGAATCGCGGACCTATGCATAGTCTGTAGTAGAAAGATAAAAAAAAAATAAACAAGCGCCCTCTTCACACAGACTTTGTTAGCTTTTCTACTAATGCTATTAAAAAACACGCAATGTCTAACACCAACAGCAACGCGCCTATTATTCTCGACCTCGAAAACGAGAGTGTTCCAGAGTGGCTACCGATTGCTACCTATAGAGCGACGATCGAGCGCGCACCTCAAGTGTCTGGTCATTGCTGGGTGAGAAAAGACCACCGAAAGGGCAAAGGGATTCTGATCTGTGAAAGCAATGCCATCAAGATCCAACAAGCGAATGATGCGAAGATTTCGGGAGAAGTTGTTGAGGAAAACGAAGTAGAAGAAAGTAGAGGTACAATAAATCAACAATGAATACAAATAAGGAAAAATTTATTTTGTACCTGCATTAATCTATCTCACGATATAACATCACTTATAGACATCCACCCTGCCAAAAGAGCTTGTAAAAGAAAAGTGAAATGGTCCGAGCGTTATGTTTGCCATCGTTCTGGAGGCGTCCGTGTGCGCAACGATCGTGTCAAAGGTGGTGCGTTAAAGTCGATCCGTATCCGCCAAAGATCAAAAAGATTGGCTGTCCAGCTCGCTTCAGAGCAGTATGCTATGAAGAGGAGCCAGAAAAGGTGTAATTATTCTTCGCTGGACACTGTGGGAAAAAATTTGGTTAATTCTGGTAGATATTGGTGAAATCTGGTTAAATCTGGTGACAACGAGTACTGGGATTGTTAAATATGGTTAAATATGGTTATTTCTAGTTTTATTACAGATACAAAAAAACTACAAGACAACCAGATCGGTCACCCTGGTTATTTCTGGTTATTTCTGGTATTTTCTTGTTAAGTATACTCAACTTAAAGCGAGTTTGTCAGCGTGCATTTTCGGAGCATGCTCTTGGAACATTGAACCTTTCTATGAGATGCCAAAGCCGCATGTCACGTATGACATTTTCAGGTATGGATGTCGAATTCGAAACATCATAGAAGATGGTATTGTCATTGATATCCTCTGATTCGTTATTGCTAGAGTTGTTGTCTACTTCTGCGCAAAAGTCGTCCATATCATAGGCCAGATCATCACTGGTGTCGCTTTCGCTGGATGAACCACTATCGTTAAGTAAGCTTATCTGTTCTTCATCGACATACATATATCTTGTTTTGCTACTACTCTAAACAGGTTCAGTGTGATGCACAATGTCAGCAATAAAAGCGGTCTGCTGTTGTAAATTATTTAAAGATTCGCTTGTAGCATTTGGTGCTGTAGAGCTTTCTTGTCGGCTATTATTTGTTGGTGGGCTTAAGCAAGTTCGCATATGAGCATAATGTTTGTTTTTGATAAAATTTAGAGTGCACTTTGGGCAAATCATGTTGAGAAGTTTAAGAAACAATACCTTTCAATCAGTTTTATTATATTTTTGTTAAGTATGCACGTCCTATAACTGAATGCGTGTACCTGCATTTGCATACATATTTTAATTAATGCCAATTCTCTTGAGTTATGTGCCCCTTTTTTCTACATTTCTTTCTCATTTTCAACCCGCAAAACCACGATGCACACACAAAGCTATGATTTAACCTTGAACAAACCCATGGTTTTTGCTGATCAACAAGGCCCGTATTTAGTCTTTTGTAACCGCATAGACGAACTCAATGACCCGTCAGTAGCGTATAGAAGTGATCTGCACTGAAATATTGGAAATGTTGAAGTCGAATAGTAACCAGCAGCAGCAACAAGTTGAAAAGACAGCAACTACACCCATTACCACGGTCGATTTGATAAAGGAGCCTAAAGCACATAATATTAAGAAGGAGCATGTCATGTACCTAGTTATACAGCAAGCAGGTGGATTGGAGGGAGCGGCTGCCGAGTTGGCCATGAATATCTAACAAAAAGCGTCGTCAAAGGAGCCATAACAAGATTAAAAGATGAGCTACTATGCTCTAGAGAAGAGGAAAAAAAAGTTCCGTTGAAATCGATCAAGCAATCCTTACTTGATAAATGCATCATCGAGGTTGAGCAGCTTGCCATAGAACATGCCAACGTACCAATGGGCCGTTGCGTCAATCACGGGGGTGCTCGTCATTTGTACGTCAAGCATGGCGAAATTTCACCAAAAACGGCGACGAGGAAGGCAAAGAAACGCGAAGGTAATGAAAAAGCCATTATGATAACAGTATTTATTATTACCTGCCTATTTGTTTTTGCTTAAGACTGGTTTATAACTGTAGCTAACAACAAATGACGCCGCCCAAAGATAAGCAACAAGGAAGAGGCGGCAAGGGAAAGAAACGAACGCCACCGATTTCGCGTGGCCGCAGGTCGAAAACGGCACGACATTCATAACTGTAAGTGTTTTAATAAGCCAAACAATGACCAACGATAGCAATGGCAGCTAATTCATCGTCAATACCACATAGATTACGAGAGTATATAGATACGACTTTTTATATCCGTCCCTCTTGTTCCATATCCTTAACAATGCATTATTGTACCATCAATCACACAACAAGAAGGCCTGCGTTATTAAATACAAAGAGTAATTATCTAGAAATAAATAGTTACACTATCATGATACCGCTCAGAATTTAAGTAACATTTTCTGGTTATTCTTGGTTCCTCTTATTCTGATAAAATCTGGTAATATATGGTTATTTGTATTCTGATACTATCTGGTCTTTTATGGTTTTATACTTTCTGATAGATACTGGTTGTTCATGTTCCTTGAATCTGGTCATTTATGGTTCTGCTGGTGATTACTAGTCAATTTCTGATTGATTCCAGCTCTAGTCAATTTCTGTTTGATTCTGGCTCTGGTCAATTCTGGAACCAGAAATAACCAGATTCAACCCACAGTGTGACTGGAGCAGACCTGAAATTAACTTTTTTTCTAACAAGTTCATTAGGTCTATATTTCCCGCTCAAATCTTCTAGTCTTATCCCTTCACGGCTCAGCCGACATATTTTGTGAATCATCAGTAAGTTTATTTT